GCTTTCCCGCACGCAGATCACCTACCTGGCCTTCCCCGGCGAGATGCTGCTCCGGATGCTGCGCATGATCATCCTGCCGCTAGTGGTCTGCAGTCTCGTGTCGGGCGCCGCCTCCCTCGACGCCAGCTCCCTCGGACGCCTGGGCGGTATCGCCATCGCCTATTTCGGCCTCACCACGCTCGGCGCCTCGGCCCTTGCCGTCGCCTTGGCGTTCATCATCAAGCCTGGGTCTGGCGCGCAGACCCTAAAGTCCAGCGACCTTGGGCTAGAGGATTCGGGGCCCCCTCCAATCCCCAAAGAGACAGTGGATTCTTTCCTCGACCTGGCCAGGTAACGACCCCCACCCCTCAGTGGAGACGCCAGCTCTTTAATACACTCCGGTTCATTCATAAACACACACCTTCGTATACTCCTAAGTTAATTCATAATTGGCTGCTGCTATTTTTAAAATATCCGAGTAATGTCTGGAGGCTTTGCGTGCTGACTACACCGTTGCAAACATCAGCCTTGGTGCACCGTGCAATCCGAAGGAGCAGGGTCACGTCTTTTAGCAAGAGCCAGCCCCGTTAGGTGTGAGTGGGCGTGCGGGCAGAAGCGGCAGCCTCACCTGCACTTTACTCCTATACTCTCTGGCTACATTCTAACCACTCTTGGCTCTCTTCACCTCATTTTCTCCCACACAGCGCCCGAAAGCTTCTGGGAGCTTTGGGTAAATTTTGCCCGTTGGACCATCCTTGCCTGTAATCTATGGCTTTTTCTGTTTCAGCCCTTTGGCTGGGAGGAAGCTGGCGATTTTTTGAGGAGTTGTCAGAGGACCCGAGGATAACAAGGCTGGGTTTAGTTGTGTGGGGCCCATTGCCCAGACAAGCCTCTCCTGGGGGCTTGGGACAGGTTGCCCTCCACCCCATAGTCGGGACCACTGTAGAGTGTTGTGAGTTTCAAGGGGCTTTGTTTGTGGGAAGGTGTGAGTTCTAGACGAGAGGGAAAGAAAAACATCTTCACTTAGCTTTGCCTGTTTTCTGTGACTTACAAGTTGCCTTTCATCCCTTGAGATGTAGTATCCAGCCAGATCAGTCTCTCCTGCTTTCTCCATTAGCCCAGAGTTCACAGATGGGAAAATTGCAGCCTGGAGTCACTTACTAACCTGGCTAAGTGCAGCTGAGGAGTTCAGCTGGCTCCTGCTCCAGGTTTCCAATTGGAAATCTTGGAGAAATCTGTTTTGTCTTAGTCACTGAGGCAAAGCTCATTGCTAAGGCTGTGAAAAACAGCAAACTGTGGGCAAAATGACTTGACTTACTGCTGTTTCTATTTCTCTCTCTGGAAAATGTGATGACTGTCTACCGCTTGAGAGAGTGTTCGTTTGAAACTATGGCAATAACAACCAAAAAAAAGTCCAAGCTATTACAGTGAAAAATAAAAATCTCTGATGAGGCGGACCAGAAAGTTAGTACCGAAACTTCTTACCAAAACGCCAGGTAGAGGTGTCTACTAGGGCTTTGATGACATCACAGCCTTTGTTTAGTGTCTGGCAGCTTGATATTTGAAGTCTTTAGAGATCCTTAAAGTTTGGGGACTTACTTTTAGGTGGGTGTTGAAAACAGTCTAATGAGGTTGAGAGTGCCTTTGGCTCTTCGGTGTATCTGTCCCCTGTTCTGGGAGAAAAAGCAGGTATGGGGGCTAAAGAATTCTTTTTTTGCAGGGAGCAGTGGCCCAGGGAGGGAATGTGGATGCACAGCTCTGACATGCTGGTTATACCCCTACAGGGAGGCTCAGTAGCATTCTCACCTCCAAGAGAGGGGTAGTGGCCAAAAAACAGTGGGGAGGGGTGATATGAGGGGTTACCTTATTACCACCAGCCCCTGAAGGCATTTCTTATTTCCTGATCATGGCATGCTAGTTTTAGATCCAAGCCCCTTTTAGCTCCTGCTTCTGAAATGAACAGTGAGCGAGCATCGTGGCATAGCTGTCAGTGTAGGCGCGGACTTTTCAGTGACTTGGGCTGCAGATACAGGCAAAGACTAAAAGAACCGTTGTCATGGCTTGTTGGGGATAAGTAGTGTTTCATAATGCTTCCAACAGCCAACCTCATTTAATCCAGCAGCTCACGGATAAAGGTAGTGTAGGTGGTGTGATCCTATTTTACAAATGAGGAAATTGAGCCACAGAGGGATTAAGTGATTTGTTCAAGGTCACAGATTAATTTATCAAAAGAGGGATTGGAAGAACCATGGGTCTCAGTGCCCCACAGTTCAGGGCTCTCTTTCTCCCACTCTCCCCTTCCCCACGTCAACATGCAATAGTGATGACAACATGCTGCCAGCCTAGTCCACAGTCAGAAATGTTTGCTCTGAGTCAAAAGAGGAACCAGGTAAGGGCTTGACTGAGTTACGGCAGGTGCTCACTTCCTCTAAAAAGACGAGATGGGCCCTTTCGGTGAAGGAAAGCATGCATGGAGCTGCTAAGACTCGGCTTTCACGTTGAGCAACTTGTGAAAGTAAACAGCCCTGAGCCACGTAGAAATATTTCCTGGGTCTGGGAAGATTCTAGGTAAAAATTTTAAAATTGCTTCCTTCAGAGAAACCTCACAGATGTTGATTTTATGTGATTCTGGGCATGTTCTTTAGCAAAGGCAGGACACAGTCCTTTCTGCCTGTGGGCCCATGAATGAAATGAGAATCTGCCAGTAAACACCTCAGTTATCCAGCAGGCCCTCACCTGGTAACTGCCCACAACGTAAACACCGGGAAGAAGTGGGAAAGGCCTCTGATGACTTCATGCAGTGCAGGCTTTGCTTTAGACCATGACCTTTCCTGGTCGTGGTGTGCCCCAAAATCCCACGGGGTCTTTCTGCCATAATTTCTAATTTGTTTTTTCAAGATCTAACTACAAGTCAGGAAGAAATGAAGCCAATAGATATTCATTATGCCTTTTAGAAAATTCAGAATGCCATTACCAAGTGGTTTGATTTCCTACCATGCAATGGATTAGAAATAACAAAGTAGACTGTGGAGTGGGTGTGAGGTGCTGGCACTAGGAGCGGGCCCTTTGAGAGCTGAGATTTGACAGTAGATAGCAACTGTCAGGTGGCAGAGTCACAGACCGTCTCCTCCTGAGCAGCCTGGAGCTTTTATCGTGAGGTCCTGGAACAGTACGGGACTCTCAAAACTGAGTGTAACCCAAGGGACTGAGCCATGACTTTTCATCTGAAATGCAATGGTTTGGGCACCAAAGAGACAGAAACAGCTTAATCAGGAACCCACTCATTGTGAAGTTCTTCGTCCCTAACAATGCTTCTTGATTATGGATCCTAGGGCACTTCCATAGCTTCCTGTGCCCTGGCTTCCTCATTTCCTAATGAGGATCATGATAGTACCTACCTCACAGGATTATTTTGAGGGTTAAATGAGTTATGTCTATAAAGCTCTTAGAACAGGGCAGACTAGCCCAATATATGCTTGCTCTTGTTATAAATGGAGCAGTATTACAGAGATTGGGGTTTTCCCCATTCACAACCAATGGGGATGGCTCTCTTTTTATAGTTTGAAATAAATGAGAGTAAGTGAGGGGAAAAAGAATGTTGGGGGGAACTCAAGATGACTAGAAACTAACGTAGTCTTTAGATATATTGGGAACCACGTGGAGCCTGGAGAAAAAGAAGTGAACAGTGACTGACTGTTTTGGACTAATAGAATCAACACTATGAGAAATTTGGAAAGTGGAGAAAAGTCAAAACTAAACACAGAAGAGCCTTCCATTCTGAAATGGGGCAGAAATCCTCACATGTGCTCCTTGACATTCCATTTTCTTTTCTCCCTGCCTTACCTGTATGGTCTCCAAAACTGACCTCAGCTATAAATGGAAAGGACTGAGGCAGCTGGCTTCTAAACATTCATCTGGATGCTAAACTTTGTAGTTTTCAAATGGAAAACCAAAGACATATCTGCAGAGGAGGCAGGTAGGGACAGCTCCAGATCGGAGGTTCTATCTGCACTGGTAGCCAGAAGAATGGCCCCAGGCTTGTGTCTTTTGCAGAAGTATAGCCAGGAGCTACAGGTGCCTGGTAAGCACAATTGAGATTTTGCCTGTCGCCCTTTTTTCTAGGAGTTATGTTTTCTCTTGTGCTCATTTTATCAACAGCTGACTGTGCTATGAACCTCTCCCTTCAGCAAGGGAAGCGTGATAACTTACTTTCCTTCCCAAGGACTGGTGTGAATTTGATGCCTCTCAGTTGCAAAGAACACTTTTCTCAATAGGTGCAAAGAAACCTATTGGAGACAGATATCTAATGTTGGCCCCTAGATCACAGTTAAAAGAATGAATAGTGAATAATTTATTTTGATGTTGGCCATGGCAGGTTGTTCAATCTATGCCTATGCATCTCTTTCTCTTCCATAGGCAAGATGAAGACTCTTAGCAAATCTAACAAGGATCCAAATTAATGGAGGTTTCTCAGCCAAACTAGTCACTAAAATGGTAGCTTGTAATTAAAAAAAGAAATGCTTTTAACACTATTCCTTCTACCCAGGAGACTACCTGAATAGTTCAGGTACTGAAAAGAACATGTACCCAGAGAGGCAGCGTGAGTAGCAATTAAGAGCAGACACTGAAGTCAGTTACCTGGGTTTGAATCCCGCTCTACCACTTACTAGCTGTGTGGACAAATCATTTAGCCTCTTGGCACCTCAGTTTCCTTACCTGTAAAATGAGGCTAATAATAGTATCTACTACCTAGACTTGTTATGAGGAATAAATGAGCTAATATTTGAGTGTCTTGCTAATATACTAGTATGTCCCAGCCTCTCAGGCTACCTGATACAGAGAATGATACAGTGCTGTTCCTTGCCTCATTTCCTAAAATGTCCCCCACCCAAGGGGCCCTGCATTAGCCTTTCCAGCTGGAATTTAAAACTGGATGTGGGCCTTAAAAAAAGGCTAGATTACTCTCCCACCCCCCACTGTCACAGTAGTGTGACCCCACCACCCAGCCCTTCCTCTGCTCCCAGCCTTGTCGGGAGTACCAGGATCAGAAGGAGCACACCCTTGTTAACTGGCTGTAACCGTAAACACCAGGATAATAAATATCAGATGTATATATCATGAGCCCTATCCTGTTCTGAAGAGTCTTTGAAATTTTCATAAGTTTAGGAAAGAATTTTTGAACCTAAAGGAGCAAAAAATTTACCCAAGCAAAAGTAAATTGTTTTACAGTCTTCTCACACAGAATAGGGAAATGCATACCACCCTTGACAAATAGGATCAGAAAAATTAACAGTAACAGATGTGTAAAGAAGGAACACTGTGAAGTTTTTCATCCTGAATGCTGCAGGAGCTTGTACAGTACCACTAAGTTTCTGCCGTCACCAGTTCAGCCTTGGCTCATTCCAGTTTTTCTGTTTAAGTAATGTATCCAGAGATTCCTATAGCTCTGGAAAAGCGTATCCATTCATTCTCTCCCAATTTGGTCTGACTTGCGTCTCTGGATTTAGCAGTATGGTCTTGGCATTTTTGCAAATGTTTTTTACTTGAACCCACTATAAGAAATACTTTCTTTTTTTAAACAAGCTCTGGCCAGTTTTATTAAAGAAAAATTTTGCATGATTTATTTCTCACCAGTCTGTTCTGGCATGCTTCTGATGATGTCAGAATCACCTGGATCAATGATAGTCAGTGTGCATACTCTGTAGAGTTTTCCACACGCGGTGCCCAATTCAATATTATTGCCCCTGTAGTGATGGACACCAGTCCTGGCCAACATGGTGTAATACTCTAGTTCAGATTTCCTCAAGGCTGGGCGGGTGTTGGCGAGGATGACCAGTTTTGCTTTGCCTGGTCTGATCATCTTCAGACTGTGCTTGTACCCCGGCACGTACTTTCCACTTTTCATAACAAGGTGGAGCCTAGAGTTGATCGACTCCAGCAACGCTTTCATCTTCTTTGCAGCGACCATCTTCTTGTCTTAGGTTCGGGACAGTCCCCAACCAAGAGCAGCCACAGAGATGGAAGGGATGCAAGAAAGAAAAAATACGTTTAAAATTATGGCATCCATACATATGCACATATGCTTCCCCACCCCACATACACACCCTGAAACATCAGTTTCATAAAACAACATTTTAAGTGTGGTACATGCTGATATTTTTCATTTTGTCTAAGGTATTACATCTTTTATAAAGTCCTGGTTAGAGCCCATACATTTGATTTCCTGTACTATTAATGTCTGAGAAACTTTGGTTTAATGTATGTGAAGATCTCAGTAGGTAGAAGCACCGGAACAGCCGGTGAAACTGAGTGCTGCATGGCAGTCAGCATTTGGGCCTTCTGATCTCTAGACTGGATCTCAGCACTCCAGGTCTGCACTGTCTGATATGATAGACACTAGCCCGAGTGGCTATTTAAATTTAAACATGTCATTTAAGTTTTCCATGTAAACAAAATTTAAAATTCAGATCCTTGCCCTGGACAGTGTGGCTCAATTGGTTGAGTGTCGTCCCATGTACCGAAAGGTTGCCAGTTTGATTCTTGGTCAGGGCACCAAAAAGAAAAAAAAAGATAAAATTCAAAAATATGCCTATAGCACTAGCCATATTTCAAGTACTCAGTAGCCACATGACTACCATTTTAGACAGCACAAATATAGAAAGTTCTGTTAGACAGTCTTGGTCTAAGTGGAGCATGAATGGCAGATGTATCAGCTTACTGTCTCTGAGCCTGGTGTCACCATGTACTAAATGAGGGGGTTGAACTTGGTCACCACTAAAATTCCTTCTAGTTCAAATGTTCCTTATTTTAAAAGCCCACAAAGTTATTGTGTGAATGTGAGGAATTGGGGGGAAATGCCTGAAGACAGAGCTCTGGGGAGCAAAACTTCTTGCATCATGAGCAGCTGATCCTGGGTACAGGAAAGCTCAGGAATAAGAAAAATCCAGAGCTCACAGCAGCATATGTATTTAAAAGGAGAGAGGGATAAGAAGAGTGCAGAGAGCCCAGCTTGTGTGGCTCAGCAGTTGAGCATCGACCTATGATCCAGGAGATCTCAGTTAGATTCCCGGTCAGGGCACATGCCTGGTTTCGGAATGGATCCCTAGCAGGGGGCATGCAGGAGGCAGCCGATCAATGACTCTCATCATTGAAGTTTCTATATCTCTCCCTTCCTCTCTCTGAAATCAATAAAGATATATTGTTAAATAAATAAATAAATAAATAAATAAATAAATAAATAAATAAATAAAGCATGCAGAGAGAACAGAGTTGTAGGACTGACACTACCCGACTATAAGACTTATGGTAAAGCTACTGTAATCAAGACAGTGTAGTGCTGGTGAAAGAATGGGCAAATAGATCAATGGAACAGAATAGAGAACCAGAAATAGACTCTCATAAATATAGTCAACTGATCTTTGACAAAGGAGTAAAGGCGATACAATGGCACAAAGAATAACCTTTTAAATAAATGGTGCCAGAACAGCTAGACATCCACATGCAAAAAAATGAATCTGGACACAGACCCAGCACCCTTTATAAAAATCAACTCAAAATGGGTCCCAGACCTAAATGTAAAATGCAAAAGTATAAAACTCCTAGAAGATAGCAAAGGAGAAAGCCTAGTTGGCTTTGAGCATGGCTATGACTTTTTAAATACAATACCAAAGACACAATCTGTTAGATGTTTTGCTTTACTCCCACAGCCTCGGCTCCTTGCCCCTCGGTATGGGCGGGAGGGGATTGCTCCTATTCCTGGTCTATGGCAACCAGAGAGACTAAGGAAAAGGAATGTGATTTTGTGGGCACATGAGCTTCGGCTCACTGCCCCCAAGCAATCCCTTCCCAATATCTGAGAGCTAAGCTATAAAACCTAAAGAAAGTTCAGTCATCTCATTGAATGCAATTTTTTTTTTTGGTTGTAAAATCCCCTTTGCAGTTAGTACTGTATTTTTATTTTATTTTTTTACTTTTAAAGTATTTTGACATGATTTACATACAATGAAATGCACCCATTTTAGGTGTACAGTTCAGTGAGTTTTTTGACAAACAGAGAACTCATTTGACTATCACCACAATCCAGACACTGAACATTTCTGTCCCCCATAACCCTTCTCAGCAATCCTCACTTTCCACCCTGGCCCCAGGAAGTTTTGGTTAGAAAGTTTTGGTTTCTATCACTGTAGGTTAGTTTTGCTTTTCATAGAGTATCATATTAATGGAATCATTCAGCATGTATTTTTCTTTGTCTGGCTTCTTTTGCTCAGCACAGTGTTGTTGAGATTATCCAGGTTGCATATATCAGTAGTTTTGATTGCCAGGTAGGATTCAATTGTGCAGATTTATCATAACCTGTGCATTCATCTGTTGATGGACATTTGAGTTTGGGGATATTGTGAATAAGACTGTTAACTGTACAGACCCTTTTTGCAGACATATAATTTTATTTCTCTTGGGTAAATATCCAGGAATGGAATTGCTGGGTCATATGGTAAGTATATGTTTAACTTTATAAGAAACTGCCAGAACACATCATTTTCTTCTTAAGAAATTGATTTTTTTTTGGCAGGAGTTATTTTGCTTCTAGTATTGTCTGTACCTCTCTGTTTCCATTGGATTTTGTAGACTAGATACTGTAGACTGTCTGAAAACAGGTTGGTGTGTCAATGGCTGTTTGGTCTAGAGGTTCTGGGTTAGGGTCAGGGTCCATTCTGGGTAAGACAGTATTAGGTTGTTGCTCACACTAAAGAGACCAGGCAGGCCAGCTAGCGGGGTTTAAACAAATAGCATGTGCTCTTTGGAACAAAATAGCATGCAGAGTGTGTTTCAAGGCTGTGGGAAAGGCTGTGCTTGCACCAACTGAGGAAACTGCTAATCCCTGAAGGATGCAAAGTACTTCCAGGGGAAACTGTTCCTCATAGAGACTGATGGAGGGCTTCTAACCCAGCTCATTCCTTAACTTCCCTGCCCTTTTAGGGAGAGAACCCAGTGGCCAGCTCAGTCCTGGAACTATTGAGACTTGTCATGTGGTGCCTGTAGAATAGGAAAACCTTGGCTCAGGACCTATTTCTGCTTCTAACTAATATAGCAAATGGAAATAAGATACCAAACCTACCCCACAAGTTTGAAATATGTAAGAAAGGTGCTTTGTAATGGAAATAATAGGCAAACATAAGTTGCTATTTATATACACTAAGGGATAGTCAATACACATTGCTAGTTTTTTTCTACCTTTTTTGTTTTAAGTAAATATGTTTGTGATAGGACTCAAATTTCTGATCACCATTTTGTAACAATTAATTCAACTGAAGATCACATTTTGTCTGCTTAAATGTAGTCATGTACTAGCCGATATTCTCTAAATATGTTAAAAGCAATGCTGGTTTCACAGACGACTAGGTTTGGAAAATGCTGTGTTGCAGTCACTACATGCTGCCTGTCTTATGGAAGCACCCTGCGTGTAATGAAGTTATTTTTTATCTCATTAACCCTGTTGGCTAGTATATGAGTTATCCAATGCACAAATTTAATAAGTTACCAACAATTTAGCAGCTTAAAATCACACCTTAATTATCTCATGGTGTCTGCAGGGTAGGAATCCAGGCATGGCCTAGCTGAGTCTTCTGCATCAGCCTCCTACAGAGCTGCAATCAAGGCATGAACCATAGCTAGGGTCTCCTCCAAAGGCTCGACCAGGGAAGGATTCACATCTGAGGTCACGTAGTTGTTGGCAGAATTCGGGTCCTTGAAGTTTAGACTGGGAGCCTCTGTTCCTAGTTGGCTGCTGGCCAGAGGCCACCCTCAGTTTTTCTCTCCAACATGGTGGCTTGTTTCATCAAACATGCAAGCCCAGAAAGCAGTTAAGCGTCTTCTCACAAGATGGAAGCCACAATTTTATGTAACCACATCACAAAGGTGACATCGAATTAACCTTTGCTCTCTTCTTTTAACTAAAAGCAAGTCATAGACCCACCCACGCTCAAGGGGAGGGTATTACTCAAAGGCGTGGCTTCCATGAGGCCATCTTAGGCTCTGCTTGTGGTCAGACCTGCCTCCCTCTGAAACCAAACATACTGCAAACAGTTGCCTGGAGATTCTAGTGTTAGATAAACAATTCAACCACAGAAGTAAGAGTTCGTGCATAAATTTGGCACAAATTGTAAAGAATGACCCAGAGTCATTTACTCTTCTAGACTATTCTTATTTTCTCATATATCAAGGCCAGAATCCTGCACAGAGCCTGACCCAAAGGAGCCCCTCAGTAAAAACTGTTTGTATGAATAGACTTTGGTTTCAAAACACAGCTGAACTCCATCAGCTCTATTGCTCTGTTTTTGTAACAAATATTTTATATTCTTCACCTTGAAATGAAATTCATAAATAGAATTTACCTGTATGCATAATTCAAAACACTAATATGACTTAACTGTAATATAAAAGTCAAAAGAGTAACTTATAATAAAAATAATGTGTTTTAACATGTAAATGCTCTAAAACAAAGTGGTTAGGTGCTTGCTTCCTAATTTGGATTCACCATTAGTGACACAAGTATAAATACAGACTGATACTTGATACCATGTGTACAATTAAGGACTTACCATTTGCCATGGGCGATGTGATTTTTCCAGAAATATGAACAATTCTTGGAAACACTCTGAACAAAAGAATAATTATCCCACATTTTACACAGTAGTTGCATTCCTAGAAAATTCAGTGTATGTTCAGATTATGCAAACTGCCTTGTTTGGGGGTTAGGTTAGGCTCAGATAATTATAAGGTTTCATCTGCAGGTGTGTCATGCAAAATATTGGAAAGCACGAGACCATTTATTGTATAGGACTTCACCGCACTGAGCAGAATGAATGGCTAGGACGTGGCATTTTCCCCTGCGCACACTCCCCCAATTCCAGGAATGCCCCCCAATTATTGCCACAACAAAACACTCCCGTGGATTTCACTAATGGGCAGCACCACTTCCCACTGAAAACCACTACAATAGGGCTTAACCTTGTGGAAAGGAAAGTGGTGCAGTTAGCCTGGCTTGGTTGAACCTAAATATCAAGGAGTCCCACGAGGGAGACAGATAAAAACTGGTGAGCTCAAGTATCTGTTGTGGCCCAGCAGCTGAGGCATAGGTGGATGTTTGAACAAGCAGAAGACCACAGTAATTGCTGGAGGTGGAGGGAGGAGGAATACTGTAGGTGAGGCTGTCAGGAATGGGCATCTTAAAGTGGATACTTTGAATGCTGAATTTTAAGAATACTGATGAAATGCTTCCTTTTCCAACAGAAACCTGTTTCCTTCAAACCTTGTGGTTGCAACTTTTCGAACGGTAAGGCTTGATGCTTTGCTAAAAATATGAACCTTTGATGGGGATGGGGGTATATAAATTACTGCTATAGAATTAGGTAAGGTGGAACAGAGAGAAAGAGTGTTGTTAACAAAACTTGGTAACATTGGTCTAAGTTTTATAGAAGGGCCCCTGGACTAAAACAAAAAAACTCAACATTTTTCTAAAATATTCCACTGGTTCCAACATCTTTTCACATCACTTGAGAAATACCCTCAGATCACATTTTGGGGCTCTCTTAACTATTTTAGAATTAAGTACAATTTTATCTTTTTTCTTATAAAAGTAATATATACTCATTGCAAAAAAAAATTTTAAACAGTACAAAAAAGTAGAAGAAAATGAAGTAAAAATCACTCATATTCACCACCTAGAGCTACCCATGAACATTTTGGTATACATCCTTCTGTTTTTTCTATGCATGCCCACATGTTTTAAAAATAATCATACTAGCCTCAGTCAGCGTGGCTCAATGGTTGAGCATCGACCTATGACCCAGGAGATTGTGGTTTGAGTCCCGGTCAGGGCACATGCCCAGGTTGCAGGCTCCATCCCCAGTCGGGGGCATGCAGGAGGCAGCCAATCAATGACTCTCTCATCATTGATGTTTCTATCTCTTTCCCTCCCTCTCCCTTCCTCTCCCTGAAATCAATAAAGATATATTTTTTAAATGATCATACCACACATTATAAACTTCTAAATTTTATTTTTAAGATTTTAGAAAAATTATTGATTTTAGTGAGAGAGAGAGAGACAGAGACAGACAGGTAGACAGAACATTGATTCGTTGCTCCACTTATTTATGCATTCATTGTTTGATTCTTGTATGTGCCCTGACTAGTATAGAACCTGCAACTCTGGTGTATTGGGATGATGCTCTAACCAAATGAGCTACCTGACCAGGGCTCTAAACTCTTTCTTAAAGCAGTATATTGTGAAGATTTTCTCATGTCAGTAAATATCCTTCTGCACAATGTTATTGGCTATATTTTACTGTATAAATGTACCATAATTTTACTCCATTGGTTTCTTATTGATGTACATTCAGGTTGTTTCTAGGTTTTTTCCTAATTTTAGCAATACTGTAAGCAACATCCCAGTGGCCATGCTTTACACAGAGAAGAAATATAAATGTCTAGATTAGATGGACTAACCTGATTGCCCTTTCTAAGTAAAGACTTTTCTGTTTCTGCTTACAGCCTCTCTCTTTAAAAAAGTAAATAAATCTGCATGTAAGCACAGCTGTGGCTTCTATATATAACATGATGTGAGAGAAAAAGAAAAAGTATATGGTGTTTCAGTGCCTGTCACATGTGGGGTGGGTTTTGTTTTTCCTCCCACCCTTGATGCCAGGAACACTGAGCACCTCTGCCTGTCTGAAAGCTTGATGAATCAAAGAGAGACCAGAGCTGCTCAAAGGCTGGCACAGAGCAGGCCTGTACCTCCTAATGCGCTGCTCCGGACAGTTCAGAAGCCAGGTGTCCTTAGAACAGGTCAGGAAGGGTGTTTCATAACAGATTCCACTTGACAGCGCGCTGCCACAGGGAGGTGCCTGTTGTGCAGAAATGGGTGAAGTCCACTGTAGGCCGAAGCTGGAGAGTGTTTCACTTCTGAGAAGTGGGTCTCCCTGAACACTCACCCAGGAAGCTCCGCCTTGCCTAAAGTCCTTCGCTTTGGAGAATGGAGGCTCAGGCCCATTAGAAACAGATTCCGAAAAGCGGTCGTCATCAAATAAGTTCTGAGACGAAGTGGAGCCTAAATAAATGAATAAAAATAAATGGACACGTTGAAAAGTGAACTTGGGCGTTACGGACTGTGAACTATCGGCTGTTTGAAATACCAGACTATAAGCATGAAATTGGGCAGACCTGCCAACCGTTGTCTGTGTCCTCGGGTCCCTAAATAACCCAGAGACCTGTTGGAGTATGTGCTGCCTTGGTCTTAAGGTACTTTTGTTCAGTTCTCAGTGTCCCTTGTCAGGCCAGCCAGTTGAGCGAAGTGGGTAATGACAGAATAGCAAGAGGCCTGGCTCTTCTGTCCCATCCTTCCCTGTGAACTGACAGTGGATTTTTCCTTCCCTCACTCACAGCATGCGACTGACTACAGCCAGGTGGCCCGCAACACGAGCTCCGGGAACATAACCCTCGAAAAGGTAAACCTCTTTGCAAGATCACTCATGACAAATACTCATAACGCAGAATTCTCTTAACTGCAGGGGCCTACACCATGCATCTGTTTCTCTGAAAACTTTGGGGTTTCTGTGGACTGTTCAAAGCACACAGGCTGAGTTTGCTTCTTTGGTTATTTACCAACATGGCCAAAGGCCAGTGTCTGTAGCTTTGGAATCTTTAGCAAATCTATTTCATCGAATTGGAACTGATGTCTCCTTTCTCCAATAATATATTTTTTTTCTTTCCTATGCATTGTTTATTTTGAATTTGATTGTTTTACGTTGTTATAAATCACACCATTTATATAATTTTGTTATAGTACATTTTTTCACTTAATGTTATAGGAAAGCTTTTCTCACACTATTAGCTCATTTTATAAACATTATTTATTTATAATAGTTACATTTTATTATATACAGTGAATGCACTACATTTTTTTTATTGTTCAAAATATTACAGATGTCCCTTTTTCTCCCCATTCTTCAATAATATTTTATGACACCCTTCTGCTACCCTGAAATATATTTAATATGTGATTTTACCTACCCCTACACATAGAACTTGTCCTAGGGGCTTAACTTACTCTAGCTATTATTCATTCACACATATTTTTGGGGTACCTATTGTTTGCCAGACACTGGGCGAGGTCATGATAGAGCAGGAAGGGACAAGGGACTTCAAGGATTATTCAGTCCAGTCACAAAACTGTCATGGGAAAATGGGGGTGCTTTACCCCTTTCCCACCCCCACACGTATACCTCCCCAGGGCTGAGGGGCTCCGAGTGCCACCAACCTTTCTTAGATGGAAGGAAAAGTTCCACTTTAAAAAAAAGTTGAGTCCGGCCGGGCGTGGCTCAGCGGTTGAGCGTCGACCTAGGATCCAGGCAATTGGGGTTCGATTCCCGGTCAGGGCACATGCCCGGATTGCGGGCTCGATCCCTGGTTGGGGGCGTGCAGGAGGCAGCTGATCAGTGACTCTCATCATTAATGTTTCTCTCTCTCCCTCTCTCCCTCTCCTTTCCTCTCTCTGAAGTCAATAAAGATATATATTTTTTAAAATAAAAAAATAAAATTAAGTCGAAAGCTACTGATTTAGTCCAATTCATTCATCTTGCAGATGAAGAACCTGATGTTCAAAGAAGTTATTTAATATCAGAGCTGGGACTAGAACTCTGCTAAAAATGCTCTTTGTGTTTTTACCATGCTAACATATGTTTCCTGTTCAGAATTTCATGAGTTTTGATGGAATAAAATGCCTATCCAATCTATGTTTGCAGTAGTGAGATTCAGCATTACTGGAAAGAATAAAGAATACATTTTACCTACACATTTAAAATCAGGGATTTAGGAACAAATATCCTGAAATATCCATGTCAGTCCTGAAAAATCTTTTGGGAAATTTGTTAGCTAGGAGACCACCCTAACAGCCTAACAACAAAGAATTGTTGTGATTTAAGAGGTGAAGTTACAATCATTGACTCTTGGTGTGAGGGAACTTTTCAGCAACTAGCTCTTCTTTTAAAAGCAACCCTTTGAAGTGATTGGCCAGCCTGTACCTGAATATATCCAGTAACAGAGAGCTCACTGCTTTCTGCTTCAAACTATGCCAGTTTTGAACAGCTTTTAAAGTTAACAACTAGGTGGAAATTTTGTTGACTTTTTGTATCCTTTGACTTCATCTCCCCTTGACCATCCTGCCCCTTGATTTACGAAAGAAAATATGAACCTTTTCTCATTCTGGGCATAGTGTTTCAGTCTGGTGGAGACATGAAGCAAATGCATCTTTAGTTCACAATCATACGTTGTAAACTTGTACCCTGTGTCTACTCTGATCCTGCAGATCCCCGTTGGCACCGAGATCGAAGGGATGAACATTTTAGGATTGGTCCTTTTTGCCCTGGTGTTAGGAGTGGCCCTAAAGAAACTAGGCTCCGAAGGAGAAGAGCTCATTCGTTTCTTCAATGCCTTCAACGAGGCGACGATGGTGCTGGTGTCGTGGATTATGTGGTGAGTATTGCCCCCTGCCCCTGCCTACTCATCCATCCAGAAAAGAACCCGATTCTGCTGTTCTAGGTCACCGCTGGGGCACACCTGGCCCAGGGCTCTGTATGTGGTTGATGCACCACGGTGGGTCCTGGAACAGGTTGTGATGGAGATGGAGGCCGTTTCTCCTCCTCTCCAGGACCTCAGAGAGTCAGGCATGCACCATAGTTGCCGGTTACTTCCTCAGCACCCACAGTGACCCCTTATGGCTCTATCATCAGTGATCTAGTTCTGGCTCCCCACCATCATCCCATATTATATGATACCCATATCATCTTGTGGAGAATTGAATTCCGTAAGTTTGCTATCTGCTGTGTAATATAAGGCCTATTTATCTTAAAACGATAGACTTCAAGCTTCAAAGGGGCCCCTTAATATCATATTTTACAACATGGAGGACAGATTCGTCTGCACCCTGTGCATTTATAAACTTGGAATGGTGATGTTTTGTTTTGTTTTTTTACCTAAACGTTCCTGTATGTAGTATCAATGAAAGTGTAATTATTTAATAAAAATTTATTAAATTTATTTTTGGCTAAAAGGTAAAAATTTGACCTGATCCCTCAAAAATCATGCTAATTCCAGTGCCATCCTCATCAGCTTCACCCTGCTGTTTTACTCAAGCCAGGCTTCTGTGGGTTTTAGCTTCTACCCATTTGTTGTTAAGAAACTAGTTTATCTTTTCATGCACAAAGCGTTTTTCTAATTTTCAACCTTTAAATATCCCAGAACTTCTCTCTCTCTCGATGGCACCAGGGTGGGGCCTCAACTGATTTTAGGGGAGAAGCCTAGAATTTGGTAGGAGCGTTTGGAATTGAGTGGGAGGCCAAGTACAAAGCCCCCACTGGTGTTTGTTTTGCTCAACCAAATTTTCTTGCTCAATCGACATTCCAGAGTCTGACTCGTCATTGCAAACATGACACTTCATTTGTATGACTATTGTTCTCAGGGGAGAAATAGTTCCAGAAAGGAAAAAGTGTTTTCATCACAGGTCAGGCTCTTTTCCTAGCTAATGTTTTTAGTCTAAAATCCTCCCAAAGTTTGGATGGAAAGAAGCTGCAAGAAAGTAATGTTCCTGTGTTAAGACATTTGTTTTCAATATGGAAACCAATTATTTATAGTCATTCCTTCAATTCAATTTACTAGTTACATAAGCAGGTATTTGGTAAGGCAGCCCCTGCTGAGTGTCTGACTGCAGTGGGTGATCTGCTGCCCAGAAAGTGCATTTCACACAGACTGGGGTTTAAAATGCCTTCTAGTCAAAGGATCTCAACCAGTGTGGGAGGGATCTTCAGCAGGAGCTCGTTCCTTCACTAATTACCTACTCCAATATCAAATTACCTGCCCCACCTGCACTATTCACAGAATTAACTCCTCAGTGGATTAAATACAGGGTCAGCAAACTTTGCAGGCCATATGGTCTCGAAACTACCCAACTCTACAGAGCAACTGTAGACAATTTGTAATTGAATGAGTGTGGCTATGTTCCAATAAAACTCAAGAGTGCCAACCCATGCATTAAACTATCCAGGGAGGCAGGAGAAAAAGAAGAGTCCTCCTAAAGTATTATAAGAAAATATATGGGTAGCTCGGCCAGGCATGGCTCAGCAGTTGAGCATTGACCTAGGATCCAGGAGATTGCAGTTCGATTCCTTGTCAGGGCACATGCCTGGGTTATAGGCTCAGTCCCCAGTTGGGCATGTAGGAGGCAGCCGATCAATGACTCTCTCATCATTGATGTTTCTATCTCTCTCTCCCCCTTTCCCTTCCTCTCTCTGAAATCAATAAAAATATATTTTAAAAAAGAAATTATATGGGTAGGGAAAGTCTTCCTAAACAAAATGCAAAACATGAAAGACATAGAAAATGGCTAAATTTGACTACATCAAAATATAAAATATTTGCATGCAAAAGATACCTTGAACATAGTTAAAAGACAAGACACTTGAAAAAAAATTGATATGTATCTGCATATTGTTTGTATGTGTATATACACATATACACAATCTCAAAGCGTTAGTATCCAAAGGACAAGTACTAGTTCACAAACTGTTTTTCTATCTGTGATGAGATTTATAGGGAAACTGAGAATAAGAATTCTCAATTCAGAAACTTTTATAGCAATTTTGTATTGCTGCAACACCCAAGCATGTTTTCATTTTTCTAACATTTTATTTTTATTGTCTTGTATAAGGATCTTGGTCCATGACCGACTGGATAGAAATTAACCAGTCTTTCACCAAAGATAGTTTGGGAAACACTAATAAGAGTTCTGATTACTGAAAAAGGTCAAAGACTGAATGAACTGTTAGAAAATGAAAAAAGTATGTGAGCAGGCAATTTATAGAAGAGGAAACCTGAATGACCAGTAAACATTAGAAATCAGGGACATGAACAGTTAGGTTTTATCGGGCATTGGGAAAGGTGAAGATAGAGTTTCTCAACCACAACACTACTGACATTTTGGGACGGATCATTCTTTGTTGGGAAGAGGGCTGTCTTGGTCCCTGTAGAATATTTAGCAGCATCCCTGACCTCCAAATCACTAGATGCCAGTAGCACGCGCTCCCCAAAATTGTGACAATCAAAACTGTCTCCAGACATTGCCACATATCCCCTGGGGCAAAATCATGCCAGGGTGGGAACCACTGGTGTAGGGAAGGATTATTCTTCTGGAGGCTAAGTGGAACGTGAATTGGAACAGCCACTTTGGAGAATCATTTGTTGGTATCAGCTAAAATTTAAAATATGCACCCCTCATAACTCATTACTTCCACTTTTCGGTGTCTCTACCTAGAGCACACAGGCCTGTAGGGCACGAAGAGGCCTGTCTGCAGTGTTGTTTTTAATGATGAAAATCTGGAATCATTTTAAATGTCCATCAGCAAGGCAACAGCAAAATACTCTACAGTGTTCAGGTTCTGGGGATAATATTTTAAATAATGAGGTAAAGGTAGAAACAGCCAAGTGTCCATTGACTAATGGAGAAACAAAATGCGGTGTATCCATACTATGGAATCTTACTCAGCTATAAGGAGGAATGACCTTGGCACATGCTACCACGGGGATGAACCTTAAAGACTGGCTGAATGAAATATGCCAGACACAAAAGGACACGTATTGTATGATCTCATTTATAAGAGGTACCTACAATAGTCAAATTCATAGAGACAGAAAGTGGGACAGTGGTTACAGGACAGAGTGAGGAGGGGATCCGGGATTATTGTTTACTGAGTACAAAGTTTCAGTTTGGGCTGATGAAAAAGCCCTGGAGGTGGAGAGTGGTGATATTGCACAACAAAATGAGTGTGCTTAATGCCACGAAGCTGTACACTTAAAATGATCAAAATGGTAAATGTTACGCTATACCTATTTTACCACGATAAAAAGAAACATACTGATGTAGATGTCTATGTATTAGTATGAAAAGGTCTCAAAAGACAGAATGTGGGATTAAAACTAGACATACAGATTTAAATACATGCCTGTGTATCTAAATACATAGGAAATAGGAGTGGCTGGTTATCTGAGGAGGGGTCTGGCTGAGGATGGTGCCTACAGAGGATTTTGGCCTAATCTATAATGTTTTAATTTTTTGAAACAATATGTTCATGTGTTACAATGGAATTTAAAATTAATAATACTGCTTAAAATATCTCTGGAAAGAAAGCTCAAGAAACCAGTGATACTGGCTTTCTCCAGTGCTTGGGGGACAGAGGTGGAAGGGAGACTTGACACTACTCGCCCTGTGTACCCTTTGAAATTTGAATTATATGACGTTATTATCTATATAATTAAAATTTACCAAAAAAGTCAATGAGTATAAAATTCTTCCTCAATTTATATTCAATTCAAAACAACTGACTTCTGTTCTTCGTAGCTCCCCTAAATTACTCCCTTCCTTCCTTCTCATCCTGCAATTTAAAAAACCTTCACGCTCCAGGGGTGTTCCCAGAGGGTCATTGTTAATGCCTTTTTCCCACGGAATCATGTTTTCCAAATCAAAAAAGATTTTTAAACCTCACAGAAGTCCCAGCTTTGTCTCAGTTCTATGTGGTTCGAAGTTTTCAGAACAAGCCTGGGCAGAGCTGAAAGTCAAACTACATTCCCAGGGGCTTTGATCTTGAACAGTTCCGTGTCCTTTCACTTGGGAGCCCATGTGGTTGGTGGCACCCATCTGTTAAGAACATGAAAATCCGCCCAAGCTGGTTTGGCTCAGTGGTTAGAGCATCAGCCTGCGGACTAGAGGGTCTCGGGTTCAATTCCAGTTAAGGGCATGCACCTTGGTTGCAGGCTTCATCCCCAGCACCTGGGCTGAGTGTGGGAGCAACCAATCAATGCGTCTCTCTCACATTGATGTTTCTCTTTCTCTCTCCCACTCTCTCTGAAAAGCAATGGAAAAAATATCCTCTGCTGAGGATTTTTTTTAAAAAAGGAATATACTATATCCAAGGGGAAAGAAGACTGGGTTGTGGTCCTAATTCCATTACCCATGGTGGTGATGTATCATGTTAACTGTTTCACAGCCTGTAAAATGGGCCCATCCCTTTCTATTCCTCAGGGTCCTCCTTGAGGGAGATGAAGACCGCCTAGTTGAAAGTCCCTGTGTTGTGTCAGGAAAGGTCTGCATCTCCCAGCCCCTTCATCACATCACTTTTTCTGACAAGTGCCCTGTGCTCATGCCCTAGGTATGTACCTGTGGGCATCACGTTCCTGGTTGGAAGCAAGATTGTAGAAATGAAGGACATCATCACACTGGTGACCAGCCTTGGGAAATATATCTTTACGTCTATATTAGGCCATCTGATTCATGGAGGAATTGTTCTGCCACTTATTTATTTTGTTTTCACACGAAAAAACCCATTCAGGTTCCTCCTGGGCCTCCTCACACCATTTGCAACAGCATTTGCCACCTGCTCCAGGTGAGTGGGTTTCGGGTGCCCTTGATGGCTCTGAGCCATGTTAATATGAAACCAGGTGAGCCCAGTGGTAGATGCACAACTGGCATCTTAACATATTTAATTCTTCGAAAACTCTAAATTGGTCTTATCATTTTTTTGTATTATCAGCCTCACAACTCTTATGGAAACGGATTCCTGGGATTGCCAGAATGAGGAATTGCCTCATTTCTTCTTCTTCTGGCTCCTTGGTGGTCAACCTGATCATTGTATAAGTCATAGGAACTGTGGATCCTCACCCTAATTAGTAAGGCCTTTGCCTGAGTAAAAGAAAGCAACCACTAAACTCAAAATGCATTGTACGGAAGTTTCTAGAATACTTGTCCAATTCTCCCTCTGGATGCATGACTTAGAAAATAAGACCAAGGCATCATGGTGAGGGATGCATGCTCAGTTTTCTAGGATTATCTAATTTAGCACAAAAGATGCACTTTGTCATTATGCGAAATCTTTCCCAAAAAATGGGCTTTCCAAATACATTAAAGAAAACTTTCAAAGGATGGCAGCACATTGTTTCATTCTCACATTTAGATTTGGCCTTTCTACCCCATGTTTCCTCCCATCCAGAAGGACTATTCATATGACAAGGGAGTGGTGGTTAAAAGGATTGGGGAGGTCAGTTTCTCTGGCGTAAACAGAACAAACCTACTTCTCAGCTGCTCCAGCCACTCTCTGCGAAGCCCACAGAGGCCACTGGAGAGAACAGGTCTTGTTTATCCCGTTATCTGTGAAGAGTTACTCTTTCCAAATTCTCAGAGCAATTTCTGCTTCTTGGCCTAAAAGAAAAAAAAAAAAAATCATAGTTTGCCTTGTGCTTTTTTTCGGGGGAGGGAGGAGTTACAGAGAGGAGATGCACAGATGGAGTCAGTAGTTCTTTGTTCTCTTGAGAACATTTTGTACCACAAGGCAGTGTGTGGTTCTAGAGAAATTTGGAACAGGTGTATCCAGGTAAATAACAACAGATAAATGTAGGAAGTCAGATTTTTAATACTTTGGGAGTTGAAAAAACCCCACGTTGTGACAAACTTTGAAACAAGTTTGATTTTCCTTTTATTTCATGGAGAGAAAGCCAGAAACTTGGGTGGTGCTCATGGTTCTGTTTGGAGGTCTGAGCTGAGTGAAGTGTTACCCCGGGAAGGACTGTTCTCATGGCTGGTTGTTTTTCCATTCCTAGCTCAGCAACCCTTCCCTCCATGATGAAGTGTATTGAAGAGAACAATGGCGTAGACAAGAGGATCAGCAGGTTCATTCTCCCCATCGGGGCCACTGTGAACATGGACGGAGCAGCCATCTTCCAGTGTGTGGCCGCCGTGTTCATTGCCCAGCTCAACAACGTAGAGCTGAAGGCAGGACAGATTTTCACGATTCTGTAAGTTTGTATTCTTTCCTTCCTCTTTAGGCCTGGGCCAGAACTTGAGATATTTCTTGTGATTTCCTTTGAACAACCTCATAAACCAATCTTGCCAGGACTTGGGTGTCTAATTTATGAAATGAGCACAGCATGAATTCATTACTTGCAGAGAGTGGATTGTCTCTTACAGGCTCATCTGGCAGAATCTGGGGTTATGTGATTTTCAGTTTCTGAGCCATGGCTGCCATGTTCTGCATTTCTCTGTGCCCCCTCCATTCTCTGTGTCAATGGCTGACCTTGCTGTGCCATCCCCTAGAGTGACAGCTACGGCGTCCAGTGTTGGAGCAGCAGGCGTGCCGGCTGGAGGGGTCCTCACCATCGCCATTATCCTGGAGGCCATTGGGCTGCCCACTCATGATCTCTCTCTGATCCTGGCTGTGGACTGGATTGTGTAAGTAGCAAGTCCTAAGGGCATCAAACAAAAGAAAGTCTGTACTGAGCTCCTTAGGAGCTTGGCCCTCTGCTGGACCTGAGGCATGTGGAGAAACTTCAGACATGCTCCCTGCCTTGTGAAGGAGCCCACAGTTGAACTGGCAAGACAAAATATAGAGCTAGGAAAAATTAAACAACATGAGTCAGAGGCCCATGAATGACCACGAAATATTACCAAGAACTTGGTTAGCGCGTCCAGGAAAGTGTGGGTTGCAGTCCCATGGGGGCACTAAAATCTGGGGAAGTTGTTTGCTACATACGAGTCATATCCAGTGGTGCAGTGAGCCTTTGAGAATGATAGTTCTTGGCCTGAAATACCCAAAGAGTGATTTCTGTTAGGAGAGGGAAAAGGAACCCAGCTGATGGGAGTGCCCTGGCTTAGACTCAGGGAAGGAGATGTTAGGAAGGAGGCGTGATTCAGACTGCAGGGCTCCTGTGAAGACACAGAACAGTTTCTGAGTGCTGATTCATTGAGTTGCGTGATGCGTTTTTCAGGTATGAACAATACCTATTTTACAGGGAAGGTTGGCTGAGGTACTAGTGTTAGATAGTAGAGCATGTAGATAAGAAAATGAGCCCTAGAGCCCAGGGACCTGGGTTTATATCCCAGCTTTGCCGTTTACTAGTTGTGTGGCAGGACTGTTCTGTGCTTTGTCTGCTCACCTGTGAAATGGGAATAATAATAGAACCTACACCAGAGTTGTGGTGGAGATTGAGTTCACAGATGCACAGCACATAGAAGAGTCCCAGGCATGTGGGAAAGCATTCAGAAAGCATCAGTGAAGAAAGATACTGCTGACCAGGCTAGCCAGAGCTCCGCATGAGAAAACCTAAACACAGGCCGGTGCTGGGCGCCGCTCTGCCCACTGCAGTTGGGAATGTTGGCTTTCAACTTTTTCTCTTAAGCCCTGGAAATCTGAAGAGGCTTCTCCCAATCCTTATGGCTCCTCAGAGCGATAAGGGTGAACTGTGCAGCAGAGACCTGCATTGTCCAGACAGCTCATCACGGGGAACTCAGTCCCTGAGTTGGTGAGTTGGACAGCATCAGAGCCGAGGGTCAGGGGTCAGAGTCCATCTCCTTGCTTGTCTGCATGGGAAAGGCAGGCATCTAAGATGCACTCAGCCAGGAATAGGGAAATAGGGCACCAGATGGGCTGCGCCCTAGAGAGCTGAAGTCACATGAGCCTTCCACCTCCCTGTGGCCTCCGATTCCACAGCAGTGCCCTCAGGCAAGTTCATATTTTTTTCCACCTCTTCAAAAATGGGTGCAGTACTTCCTCTGAGCTCCAGGGAGAGAGGATGGTTACTGGGCTAATCCATGGGAAGACAAGCTTCTGGAAAGGACAGTGCTGTTTTCTGTGAGGGGGTGTTCCAATGGACATGGAATGCATCTGAAGATTGATGTTCGCCCGGCCGGGCGTGGCTCAGCGGTTGAGCGTTAACCTAGGATCCAGGCGATCGGGGTTCAATTCCCGGTCAGGGCACATGCCCAGGTTGTGGGCTCGAGGCAGCCGATCAAAGACTCTCTCATCAATGATGTTTCTATCTCTCCCTCTCTTTTCCTCTCTCTGAAATC